TTTTTTTTGTAATTTAATGAAGCAACAATATTAAAAATGGTTGTTTTTTAAATTCCCTATTTTTTGTAATCTAACAGCAATATTATTGTTGTTGTTGTTGTTATTATTATTATTATTATTATTGCATACTCATTTTAGTATTTTAATCACAGTAGTAGTATTGCTATAGTAAAATTTCTTTATCTATTTAATTTAAAATCAATCACAATAATTGTAGTTGCTGTTTTAATAACAACAACTAATATAATAATAATAATAATTATTATTATTATTAGTTGTAGTAATTATTAGGCAAGGCAAGTTTATTTATATAGCACATTATATGCAATGGTAATTCAAATTGCTTTATATAAAAATGAATTAAAATAGCCATAAAATAATCACAACAATAAACAAAAAAAATTAAAATGATTAGTTAAGATTAAAATGACAGTTAAGGATAAATAATTAGGATACATAAAATACAGTGCAATATTATTAAATACTACAAATCTGTTATTATTGTTTTTGTTGTATAGTCACATACAATAACACTAAAAGCTCAAATCTCTGTTTGTCCTCTAGGTTTCCTCATCTTCTGTGGAGTGGAAGGGTTTTGAAGACCATGTTGGACATCCTGCAGACTCTGTCTCTGTCTCTGAGCGCCGTCAGTACAACATCCAGAAATCAGCACATGCATGATCAATATTACTAGTATTTACACTCTCACACGTCAGTCTCTTAACCCAGCCTCCTGTTACACAGGACATCCACAAAGACCAGCCATACTACGACATTCCCGACACTCCGTACAGAATAACTGTCCCAGACACGCATGAGGCGCGAGAGGTGAGACCGGACGCAGCCCTTGAGCCGAGGATATGTGCTCAGTCTGAGTCCAGTGTTTTGAAATGCTTTGTGTTTGTTGTGCAGAGCATCGTGAAGGACTTTGCCGCCCGCTGTGGAGAGATCTTGAAGGAGGCCATGAAATGGGCTGCTTCGGTTACCAAATCTCATCTCCAGGT